GATCACCCGCTTCGTAAGGGGCACTGCCCCAGGAACAGGGACAGACCATGCTCTGAGCTAAATCCTACTGCCCCATATCAGGGGCCCCCAAACATGTCCCTTGAGCCTCTACAGTGGCTGCAGGGACAGCCCAATATTTCCCTCTTTATTCCACAGAAAGGTCTTCCCTCAGGGAATTGGTCCCCAGAGGCCCAGGTCTCCCTGCTTGGGAAATTAACACATCTGTCAGCAGTGGGCGGAAGGGACTCTGCCCACAGCTTCAAAAACCCCAAGATATACTAGCCGGAAACCTAAGACAAGGTGCCCAGAAATGACAGGGACACCCAGGCCAGGGGTGGACACACATTGGGTTCCCCTCTGGCTGTCAACAACAGATACATATCTGTGCCTGGGAGGTCTGTGTGGAAGGAACGGGAACACCAGCTTGGTCTGGGGGCTTGTGCCTGTTATCCAGCAACTGGGAGGAGGAGGCAGGAGGACCAGGAGGCTAGCTCCCGCTGCATAGTAAGTTCACAGAAGAGCCTATCTAAAAAAGAAGAGAAAAATGGGGAAACTGAGGCAAGTGACCGTGAGAGTGGCTGTGACAGAGGGTCCAGGAAAGCCATCTGCTAGGACGACGCCATCTGGAGGGGCAGGGCTGGCCTGCAGAGGGAGGCCGAGGCCGAGGCTCCTAACCAAGCATCTGCCCTGCCTGGGGGAAAGCCCATGCCCTCATGTTGGACAGGGTGAGTGAGGGCTGCAGACAGTGGAGAACAGGGCACAGAGCATTATGGGATGGGTATGTTGATCCACGATACTCAGATTTAGTGGCTGTGGAGGGAGAGAGGTTTGGGGGGCAGGAAGCCTGGGTAGCACCCAGCAGAACAAGGTGTGGCCTGGACCACCAGGGCTGCAGGCTGGGAAAGATGAGACAAGCCTGAGCCCACAGCTGTGGGACACCAGGTCTCAACCACCACCTTTGTTCCCTTTTTGCCCCTCACCTTGATCTGGAGCAAACTAAGACCCAAAGAGGGTGAGTCAGGGATTAGCAGCTTCTCCTCAGTCCTGGGGAATGGCTGGGAAATGACTCACAGTATCTACTATGATTGAGTGCCTACTGTTTGCCCAAGCCATTCACACATGGCCCACCTCACAGAAAAAGCCCAGCTACTGAGAGATAGGTCCTCCTAATCAGAGGAAGTGGGCTTCCCCTCAGGGCTGGATGGAGCAGGCTTGGGCTGAAGCGGGAGCCTTCCACAGTCCAAACTGGGAAACAGGCCTGCTATTGTTATTCAGATCAAAATCCAGATCCCAGTCTGGGAAAGTTGGGGCATATACATATGTTCCTGGCAAAGTCAGGCATGGTACATGCCTGTCACCCCAGCTCTGAGATGCAGAATGATCAAGAGCTCAAGGTCATCCTTAGCTACATAGCAACTTTGAGCTAGCCTGAGGTACTCGAGACAGTCTCAACAAACAACAACAAACCAGGAAGCCAACGAGGTGGCGGTGGTGGTGCACGTCTTTAATCCCAGCACTTGGGAGGCAGAGACAGGTGGATCTGTGTAAGTTCGAGGCCAGCCTGGTCTACAAGAGCGAGTTCCAGGGAAGTCAAAGTTACACAGAGAAATCCTGTCTTGAAAAAAACAATAAAATAAGACCCAGGAAATCAAGTTTGGGCTCAACGTGCCTTGCCATGGTCACAAAGACAGACAGAGTTCAGAGAAGGGCAGGACCTTAGCAAGGGTGCGTGGCAGAGACTCAGTCCCCAGCCATGGCTCCTGTTCTCTCAAGGGCCTGGGAGTGGCCTTGAGCCCCTTCTTTCTCCAAAGTGGGGCTGGGTGTCCCCACATGGTCTTAGGATCCTCTCCTTCGAGATCATAAGCTGGGCAGGCCGCTGTCACCCCAACACCGAGGAGGTGGAAGCAGGAGGATCAGGAGTTCAAGGCTGGCCTGGACAACATGACACCCTGGCTCAAAAGACAAATTTCTTGTGCTGGGAAGATGCTCAGTGGCTCAGAGTGCTCACTGCTCTTGCAGAGGACTCAAGTTCGGTTCCCAGTACCTATAGCAAGTGGCTCACAACTTCAGCTCATCAGTACCCCCTCCATGCCCTATACATAATAGTTAAATAATAAAAAAATGAATCTTTAAATCAGTAAAAAGAGAAAAATCCAAACCAGATTTCAGTCGGCCCCTGGCCTTAAGTATCTCAAAATTCCGTCCCCTTTAGGATAAGTTTTGTTCCTCTCTTTAGCTAGGTGGGTGACAGACCTGTCACCAGCAAGGAAGACGCAACACCGGAGCTGCTCTTCTTGCAAGCAGTTTATTCAGGACCTTGTTTTCTCTCTCTCTCTCTCTCTCTATCTATCTCTCTCTCTCTCTTTCCGGGCAAACCTCTCCCAGCCCTTAAGTAGGCATGGGCTACCAACCCCGGATTGCCAGGTGGGCACACTGCCCATAGGTCCACGCATATGCAAGCAGCTGACAATCATTTCGTGATAATAGCATGAGTCAAGCCTTAGCCAATATTAGGAGTTGATTATCACAGAGAGCACCCGCTTTCGGGATCGCGGAGGGCGGAAGCCAGCACCATCAGGTGCGGCTCTACGCAGCTCTCTACACAGACCCAGTTTGGAGAAGCAAGCCTGCCTTTGCAGAGGTCCCTGTAAACTTAGCAAGCAAACCAGAAACACCGATCCTTCTAAATTGAAGTCGGTGCCCCCACACCCACCTCCAGTGCCTAGGACGGAACTTGCACCCATTCTTAGGCTATCTCCCCAGATCCTCACTGGTGAGTTCTAGTCAAGCATTCTCTCCAATCCTGACACACTGAGGGCTCTTTTGAACCTGGGTTTGTTCACAACAACAGCCAGATTTCCTGTCCTTAATTCCACAGGACCACAGTAAGGACTTCAAAGCAAGCAGGTGGAGGCCTAGACTGTGTCTGACCTCTGTTGGCATCTAGGGCTAGGGCCAGGCAGGGGCCAGGTTCACTGGCATCTACTTCTCTGGATGAAGACTGAGAGGCAGGTGGTAGGTCAGGACCGTAAAAGGGACACTGTCTCAGACATCCGTGAGTTGTTCCCAATGCCATTTCCAAGGAAGACACAGGCATGGGGCAAGGGGTGACCCCTTCATCTTGTCTTCCGTGCCCATGTGCATGCCCGAAAGGAAACACGTGCAATGGATGTCAAGCGGTGTGCACCCTCAGAGGGGGTCCCTCAGTGACACGACTTCACAGCAGCAACTCTCACCAATTTTCAAACACAGCCTCAAGTAGGGACACACCTGTGATCCCACAGTTTGGAAACTGAGCTAGGAGGATTGATGGAAGCTTGAGGCTACATACAGAGACCTTATCTCAACTTCTCAACCTCCCTTCTACCTCACACAAAGAAAAACACAAACACAGCCACCACTAGGTAAACATCTGTGATCATGGTACTTGGGAGAACAAAACCAGATTGCCATGAGTTCTAGGTTAGCATGGGCTACAAAGGTGTCTTTTTTCTTTTTCTTTCTATCTTTTTGTTTGTCGAGGTCTCACTACATAGCTTTGTCTGGCTTAGGGCTCACTTTCAGGCTGGCCCGGAAAGGAAAGCTCTGTTTCTGCCTTACTGGGACTAAAGGCATGCACCACCAAGCATGGATACATAGACTTCTAGGCCACCCTGGGCTACAGAGTGAGACCCTCTCTCAAACTCCCAAAAGAACCCTCAAACAATGGAGTGTGGTCACACTTGGGATCCCAGCACTAAGACGACGGGGGGGGGGGGGGGGGGGGGGGGGGGGGGGGGGGGGGGGGGGGGGGGGGGGGGGCGTTGAGGCTGGCCTGTGCTATATAGTAACTTTCAGACTAGCTTAGGCCAGAACGAGACCCTACTCAGCAAACATCCCTGAAACCCAGCGCTCCCCCCAACGCCTCCCGTCAGACACCGTATGCACACACACACACCACCTTTTGTACCCACGCGTGCCCCGGAGCCGTGCACACCTCTGCAGTCCCGGGAGACCGTCAACGCCGGCCGCACCTGCAAGTCCAGGCGTCTACTGCTGCTCAGGCACTGAGCTCTGCTCCCACCGGCCCGGGGTGCCTTCCCGCGCAGTCCCGCCCCTAAGAGGTGATTGGATGGAGGTGGTGCCTTCATTTGTGAGGGGCAGATGCTTGGGAAAGTCCTGCCTCCTAAGCCCTTGAACTCAAAGAAGATGCTGAGATCCAAAGTGACCAGGTATAGAGAAGCAGGGCTTGGAGGTGCATGCCTGTCATCCCAGTAGCCGGGAGGCAGAGGCAGGTGGATCTCTGTGAGTTCGAGGTCAACCTGGTCTACAGAGAGAGGTCCAGGACAGTCAGGGCTACAAAAAAACCCTGTCTGGAAAAAAATAAAACAAAACACCACCTACAAAAATAAAATAAAGATGGGTTTGGAGGAACGACTCAGTGGTAATTGAGAGCACTGGCTGCTCTTCCAGACCCACAGGGCAGCTAACAACTACAACTCCAAAGTCTGACACCCTCACACAGACATACATGCAGGCAAAACATCAATGCATACAGAATAAAGATAAATTATTAAAAAAGGAAAGAGAAGAACGGGGCTGGGGCAGCAGCTAAAACCACCAAGCATGGTGCAGACAGAATTCAACCCCAAGTACTTGAATGGTGGACTCTGGTGTCCCCACTGTGGCACACACCTCATGCTGAGCCTGACCTTAATCTGGACCTTGTTCAGAACTCTGCCACTGCCAGCCCAGACCATGCACCTCAACAGAGTGAGTTCCAGGACAGGCTCCAAAGCTACAGAGAAACCCTGTCTCAAAAAAATTTTTTTTTTCTTACAGCCCTGATTCTGCTAGCAAACTGGACAATGGACCAAGCCAGCCTTTAAGGCTCATGGCCTTCTAAAATCAGAACCACTTCATGGGGGACCTGGACCACTAAGTATGTAGCCCTACCCAGTGGTGCCTCCTGCAGTGTCCTCACGGACTTCTACTGGACCCTGCTCACTTTGTGGCCTTACCCTATCCTCTTCTGGTCTTCTACCATCATGCTCCTGTCTCAGTTCATCTCTGTGTTTGCAGAGCCTCGAAGGAAAAGGATTACAGGGTCAGAGGTCAGGGACAAAGCTGGCTGGGGACAAGGGGGTAGAATCCCACATGGGACCCCTCCCAACTCTTTGGAGGTGGAGCCAGGCCAATGGGAACAATGGTAGGGCAACACCAGAAGGATGAGGGACATTTGCAGTGCTTTACAATGAATCTGTCCCTGAGTGAGAATCGAGAGTAGGGCAGGAGTGCGGCTGCCTGGGTGGCCTCTGCCTTGTTCTACATCTGTGTAATTTGAACCCTGTAGTTTCGGCACAACTTCCCAGACTCCCAACCGTGTTTCACTCTTGTAACGGAGGCTCAGGGCAGTCTTCTTGCCTCACACTGTAAGCGTTTGGATGACAGCAGTGAACCACTTCCCACGGCTGCAAACTTTCTCTTCAGACTCAAAACCGAAAAGTTTGTGCCGTGCTATAGGTGAGTCCCCTGCCCTAGCCCAGTTCTCAGTCCACACCCACAGGTGTCCTTGAGACACACCAAGATCCGAGCCCAGCCTGGGGGCTTCTGCCTGGGTTCCAAGATGAAGAACAAGGCTCCTGTAGATGAAGGAGCCTGGGGAACCCCGGCCCCCGGGGCCCCGCTGTTTACCGGGCCACCTCCCCCTGGCTCTGATGCAACCTACAGGCTCTGGTTACATGAGGGCATGAGGGCGGCAGCTGCAGCAGGGCCAGCAGGGCCCTGCACCGGAGCCAACCCGCCCACACAAAGCCACGCCCCGACCCACAGCAGCTTGCCCCCTGCCCTGGACCCCTTCGGTCCCATCACTTGAGGGACTAGACAAGTTACTACCTCTGGCTATTCAAGGTGAGGGGACATATGAGTGGCTGGAGCAAGGGAGGAGGTCTGAAAGCCAAGGCTCTTTACTTCGGATTTTTCTCTTTCTGTCTCCCTACAATCTACTTACGTAATAACAACCCCTGAGCCGAACTGGTAATAAATGCTTTTTTTCCTCCCAGTTTTTCAAGACAGGGTTTCTCTGTGTAGTTTGGAGCCTGTCCTGGAACTCACTCTGTACACCAGGTTGGCCTGTCTCTGCCTCCCGAATGCTGGGATTAAAAGGCATGTGCCACCACCACTGGGCAAGGCACGTGGACTTAAACTCATGGCTAACCTATGTTACATGACAAGAACCTGTCTAAAAGGAAATAAATTCAAGATCTGTGAGATGTTCAGTGGGTAAAGTGCTAGCTGCCAGACCAGGTGACATGAGTTTGATCCCCATGTCCTCTGATCTCCACATTTACACATGTGTCATGATACTGTGCCCCCCCACCCCCCCCAGTAAAATAAATGTAAGTTTTACAAGTCATAAGCACAGGCCACTGTGAGTCCCTTTCCAGCCCTGGTGGATCTGGGGGAGCCCATTCAATGTCAGACCCTGCCAGACTATTCCTAGTCAGGTGGCTGACTGGTTTCTTGGGTGCCCCATGGCACAGGAAGATCACCTTCTGTCTCCAAGTTACTGAGTGAATTTTGGTTGGAGCAGTGTGGGGACAGATGTACGGCTTGATGAGTGCCCTGGTCCCCTGGAAGCTCAGTTCACTCTCAAAGGACCAGAAGCCTCTGTCAGGTTTGTGTGGGCAGGGCTGTGCACCCAGACCAATGTCTGCTCTTGGGGGAGACGCAAATGAGATGTAAAGTAACTGTGGCCTGGGAGGCCTGGGCAACAGGTGTTGAGGTGGGGGGGCACCCAAGGGCTGGGGTGGTAAGGAGCCCTGGAGGCCTGCCTCCTAAAGTTCAGTGCACCCAGTGTTTCTGTGGCCGAATCCTGGGGTACCTTTTATATTACTACCTATTTACATGCGTGTATCTATGGAAGCACAATTGTGTGGGTGTTGGGGTTACTAGCTTTGGCGACATGCCTGGCTTTTCTGATGTGGGTTCTGGTGGCTGAACTCAGGTTGTCACAGCTGTGAGGCAAGTACTTAGCTGACCGAGCCCTCTCCCCAGCCCCTCCTGTATATGGCTTACCATGTCTTGAGCCCTCTCATACATGGCTTACCATGTCTTGGGCCCTCTCCCCAGCCCTCCTGTACATGGCTTACCATGTTTTGCATGAGCAGAGCTGTGATAACATGCTCCTGTTCCACCTGCTACAACTTTGGCAATTTTTTTGGAGTTTTTTTTTTTTTTTTTTTATTAGCTTGTTTGGTGTGTGTATATGATTTGGGGGAACCTAGGGCCTGGTTGTAGGACAGACATGGAACCTGCCCCATCAGGACCCAGGAGATGGGAGCTAGTGGCCAAGCCAGGGACTCAGGTCCTGCCCTGGATGGAGGTGGGAGACAGTTATCCAGTGGCTCCTAAGAGATTAGACAGGGAGATGTGTTCCTCGATCTCAGAGAAGCCAGCACCCAGTCCTGCATCACTTGTCAGAAGCAGGGTCAGGGTCTGGTCTTCAGCTATGTGACCCCAGCATGGAAGAACAACTCCTGAACATTCATGTATGCGCACCAAGACTGCCCTAGGGTGCGACTGGAATAGTGAGCCTGGTTCATGGCCAAGGGGAGCAATTACGGCTGAGCCAGGAGTTCCTGTTGAGTTCTCAGTGTGATGTCCAGGGGTCTGCTTCTGCAAGGACTGGAAAGGGGGTGGGGGAGCTAAGGGTGGGAAGACCAGGACTCGAACCCATCGAACCCATCAGGGTTCGAGTGGGGGCAAGTGCTTGGGGCGGGCTATCCCACCACCAAGCCAGTTTCCTCTTGTATAAGAGATTGTGCTGAGGATCTTGGGTCTGGACAGGCTGTGAGGATCTGAACCCACGAAGGCCACTGGTAACCCAGGAGAGGCTTTGGAACTCAGAGGGCTGAGGATCCCAGGGAGGTGAAGAAGTCTGAAGAGATGAAGTTGGGATCCAGAGCCCAGGATGCCACGAGGTGAGCAGAGCAGAAGACACATGACTCGGGTGCCCAGGCGTGCACCAGTGCCGACAGGATCAGTGCACACACCTGGGAGCCCTTCCAGATGCTCCTCAAGTGAAAAACTGCCCATCTCCTGTGGTGGGGACAACAGCTGGTGAGAGTCCAGATACCTGGCAAGCTGAGACTTGCCACTGAATGCCCACTGACTGGTGCCCAGTAGTTCTTGCTACCCAAAGAGCTGAGAAATGGTTACTGTACAAGTGAGATGCTTAATTAATGCTTGATGGCCTCATCACCCAGTAAGTGCTGCCTTACACTCTGCGCCTCTGGGCTGGGAGTCAGTCTTTACAGCACCAGTGGGACCCGTGGGTGAGCCCCTGTCTGTGATGGAGAGGACCCTGGACCCCTCCCCAACACAGCAACAGGCAAAGGCCAAAGGAAGCACCCAACTCCCTGCAGCCTGAAGCAGCATCAGGAGCTGGTCAGTTTATAGTATTGTAAGGGTCAGGACTGTGGACGCTTCTCTCTTGCATGGATACAATGTCACAATGTATGCCATCACTGACCACATGGCCTCAGCCTAATAAGCCATGTTTACAGAGAAGTAAGGATGCAGCCTCAAGGTCACACAGCAGCTGAGTGGTTGGGGGCATAGGAGCCAGGTCTCTGCCTAAGGGAGGAAGATGAAGCAACAAGAGGCCTGAGCAACAGAGATTCATCAGAGTGAGCCCCCCCCCCCTCCCCCCCCGCCAAGAAACCATCCCTGAAGAGCAGCCAGAAAGCCCAACAGTTAGACAGCAGGCTGCAGGGACACAAAGAAAGGGGTTAGCTCATTAGAGTGGCAGCCTCTGCACTGACCTGGGTGGGCAGCTGGTGGCCCTGAGAGTTTTGCATTGTCAGGGTCAGGCCACAGTAGGAGGGGATGGTTTCTCCTGGCTGGAACAAACATTTGGAATGCATGAGACTGATGCCACAGATCAGGAGACAACTTAGCCTAGCTGACTAGGGGTTGGAGTCACACCCTGAACCTCAAGACCATGGTCTGAGCTTTTGGTCTTCTATAAGGGTGGAATCAGCACCTACTTCAGAGGCCAGGCCAAGCTGACGGGAAGGATAGGGTGCAACCCAGATGCAGCGTTCCTGCTGCTGCTCCTGTCATTCCAGCAACAGACCGGAGTCGGCGGGGTCAGGGGAAGACTGGCTGAGGCTGGTACAGGTCAGCTACGAGTTTATTGAGTTATAATCAACATGGAGAAATCGAAGGACAGTAGGTGCCTGTTATCTCCCTGGGCTTCAGCTGGAGACAGCCCCCACAGCAGTTTCCCATTAAATCATTCCCCATGCTCTCTCCCTGGGCAAGAGTGCCAGTCTCAGGGCCTTGCTCTGTTCACTTTCCAGAGGATGCTGCTTGCCCACACACTTCCTCTGACCTGTTTCTAGGTCACTGTCCTTGTGAGTCTGTCAACCAGGCACGGCTGTCACAGTTCCTCACACACAGCTGGGATATTTGTGCCACAGATGACAAGGAACACCTGCACAGCTCACTGGTTAGGATGCTGACAGGGGCGGGTGGCTGGGCTACCTGTGGCCCTGGGCGCTGTTGTTCATGTGGTCCCGGATACTGATGGCCTGTTTGAGCAGGCCTTCGACACTACGGAAGTACACACTGCTGTCCACCAGGCTCTTCACAGCACTGAAACAGAAAGGAGTGAGGATCAGCATCAAGGCCACCAGGAAATGTCCCTATCCTGTCCAGAGTCGGGAGCTGCAAAATGTGGGCTCAGCCTTCAACACTGCTAACTATTAACAATTAAAAAGGGTTTCATGTCTGTAAAAGAAACAATCTAAATCTGAGACAACTCAGCCCAGGGACCACTGTGGGCGCCTCTCAGCCCAGTGACTGATGCGGGGGCCTCTCAGCCCAGGGACTGACGTAGGTACTGCTTTACAGGGCTGGAATTGCTCTTTATCTAGTGTTTAAAAGGTGGCTGGCTGTGTAACTCTGCTTTTAGGATTTGAAGTGTATAGATGAGGCATGCCTGTGTTCCAGGACTGAAGGAGGCTGAGGCAGGAAGATCCCAAGTTTGAAGCCAGCCTGGATTGTAGAGGAAGACCCTATATTTCTTTAAGGAGGGGCTGCATCTGCAAGCAGTAGCAGGTGGAGGTTAGAGGACAGCCTGCAGGAGTCAGTCCTGATTCACAAGTGGTCAGGCTCGGCACGGGTGCCCTGTCAGCAGCCCACATCCTTCCTGGGAGCAGCAGAGTGATCTGTGTGAAGGGTTTTATCACTCTCATGCCCGGCAAATCTCACAGAATTTTTGATGAGGGGATCAAGTCCTCATTAGGAGTTCATGCAATCCCAGGCAATCGAGGTGTGCACAGCAAAAGCAGCCGGCTGAGACTGCACTTAGCAGAAGCAGTGAGACACTGGAGTGGGTGAGTGGCCCAGGCCGCACAGTAGGCAGAACACAGGAACGGTGGCTCAAAAGAACTGACCTGCCAGCGAGGAGGAGGCCCAAGAATGCAGAGAAGAGCCAGGTGTTGTGGCGCACGCCTTTAATCCCAGCACTTGGTGGCAGAGGCAGGTGGATCTCTGTGAGTCGAGGCCAGCCTGGTCTACAGAGTGAATTCCAAGACAGTCAGGGCTACCTAGTGAGACCCTACAGAGAGGAAGATGTAGGCTTATTTTTCTTTTTCCTTTCTTTCTTTCTTTTTTTTTTTTTTTTGATTTTTTTGAGACAGGGTTTCTCTGTGGCTTTGAAGCCTGCCCTGGAACTAGCTCTTGTAGACCAGGCTGGCCTCAAACTCATAGATATCCGCCTGCCTCTGCCTCCCAAGTGCTGGGAGTAAAGGCGTGTGCCACCACTGCCCGGCATGACTTGGGCTTTCAGACAGCCCAATGGGCACAAAGACTCAAGGCCATACTCACAGAGCCAAATATGGGTTTTCAAACCTGGAGAGGGAATGAAATTTATGCCCTGACAATGACATGGCACACGTGTGCCTACACACACACACACACACACACACACACAATCTCAGGTGTGAGCAAAAGTCATGTGCAAACTGACCTCAGCTCCTGGGAAAGTGAAGGCAGGACTGCTTAATCCTGGGTATTCAAGACCAGCCTGGAGATACACTAATACCCAACTTAAAAACAACAGGACAGGCAGGTAGGGCATGCTCACTCAGCACTGCTGCCTGGGGTCTGCACGGAGGGTACACACGCACAGGGTACAAGGCAGCCTTGACCCCCCTTAGCTGTGGTCCAGCTGATTTTCGTGTCGGGACGGTTACGTGTGTGTGTGTGTGTGTGTGTGTGTGTGTGTGTGTGTAGGACAGAGGCCAACACTGGGCAGGTTCATCAATTGTTCTCCACCTTTTATCAGCTGAGTCACTAATCTGAGACAACAGTCTCTCAGGGAACTAGGAACTTGCTGACAGAACCGCCCGCCTAGGGGAGCTCCAGGCATGCTCCTGCCTCCACCTTCTCGGAGCTGGACTTGCTGGTGCTCACCATCGGTCAACAAGGGCGCTTCAGATGTGACTTGTGGATAAAAGCATTTTCTCCCGCGAGCCACCCACCCCAAGTCAGAGGCAAACAGTCAGGTCCCCAAACTCCCCAACAACTGTGAGAAACCGAACAGAGGTGTCGTGGCTATACCACAACGGGTGGATGGGATTGGGAATCTATGTCACTCTCCCTCTGACAGATGTGGCAGGTGTCTCATCTGCAAGCAACAGGGGGATGGGATTGGGAATCTACGTCACTCTGCCCTCTGACAGATGTAGCATGGTGTCTCACCTGCAGGCATACTCCACGGTGTATATAGCACCCTGGCTCTGCTCCTCCCATCTCTGCATGTCAGCCTGCAGGATTGGGGAGTGTTAGGAGGAAAGGCTCTATGGGAACCAGTGTTAGATGTCAGATCCTCTCTGAGCTTCCCATTCTAAAAGCCCCACCAAGTCCTCTACTCTCCCACTGAGTAAGTGCTCCACCACCACACCTGAGTGCTTCACTCCCCCACTAGTGCTCTACCACCCCACCTGAGTTCTCTACCACTCCACCTGAGTGCTCCACTCTCCATCTGAGTCCTCCACTCCCCACCTGAGTGCTCCACTCCCCACCTGAGTCCTCCACTCCCCACCTGAGTCCTCCACTCCCCACCTGAGTTCTCTACCACTCCACCTGAGTGTTCCACTCCCCATCTGAGTCCTCCACTCCCCACCTGAGTGCTCCACTCCCCACCTGAGTGCTCCACTCCCCACCTGAGTGCTCCACTCCCCACCTGAGTCCTCCACTCCCCACCTGAGTCCTCCGCTCCCCACCTGAGTGCTCCATTCCCCCAGCTGTCTTGACTTTGCCTTCTGCTATCCTCTTCCCCTAGGGGCTCTGTGTGACTAGCAGGCCTTGAGTCAAACCCTTAGGACTGGCTATTGCATCTACCTGGCAGGCCCTTTCTTGGGCTCTTTCCTCACCTTGCTAGTCACTAATCCAGAAGACCATGCTGTCTCCTTCAAAAGTCACCCACGGGCTACCCCCACATTGTCCAGCCTGATTCAGCTGCCAAAGGCTATCTCACTAGCATCTCTGCTTTGACTTCAGCCCCTTCACATGTGTACCCCACTTCTGCTCAGGGGAGAGATCCTTGGCGGGCTGGCAGAACTCACCTTGTGCTGGGCCAGCTCGGGCAGTGAGCGGCGCACATGTTCCTGTAGCCGGTACAGGGCCACTGACGGCTCGTTGGCCAGGACATAGACACTTTCGGTGAACTTGTCTGTTACTGGGTTTGACAAGGAGGGGATGGGAATAAGGGACAAGTATTAGACCCTTGTATTTATGTATTTATTCTATTTTGAATTATATGTGTGTATCTATGTGAAGATATACACGTAAGTGCAGTGCCATGGAGGCCTCGGAGCTGGAGCTACAGGCAGTTGTGAATGCTGGGGACCAAAGTCCAGCCATTTCTAAGATCACCAAATGCTCTTAACTGCTGAGATACCTGCTTCTTCTCCTTCTTCTTTTTCCTTTTAAATAGGGTCTCATATAGCCCAGGTCAGACTTTAGCTTTCTGTAACCAGGGATGACCTTAACTCCCAATCCTCCTGGCTCTACCTCCTGAGTGCTGGGACTGCGTTTGTGTGACACCACACCTGGTTTATGTGGCGCTAGGCAAGCACTGCCAACTGAGCCCCAGCCCGCATCAGACTCTTAGTTCTTCAGTCTCTGACCCCAATCGAAGTGCACCCCTGTAACCATCATCCACAGGCCCAGGTCAGCTAGAGACTCAAGGGGACCTGAGCACATTCTGAGCCCACAGCCCCGCCCCCGCAAATCCACTTCCAGGGGACACTAGGGAACAGTACTATTGCCACTGAAAACCCTCAACATAACATCATACTAGAGACCAGTATGGAACATCATACTAGAATCCAGTAGCTCTGAATTCCCTGTAACTTCAATGTGTAGGCCAGGCTGTCCTCAAACTCGCACCAATCCTCCTGCCTCTGCCTCCCAAGTGTTGTGGAGAGAAGCATGCACGCACCACCATGCCCAGCAGAGGATAACCACTGAACCCAGAGGTGCCTCAAGTCTACATCCCTGTGTGGCCTGTACTCTGACCAAGACAGGAATGTTGTGAAAGCCTACATCTCTTGCTGTGCTGGAACAACTCTGAGGTTACCCCATCACGAGCCCTGCCTTAGCAGCATGCCTGAGGCTGCCCTCTACATCCAAGAGCCTGCTAAGCCCACCTGCTTTCATTACCCTAAAATTCATGTCTCGCCGGGCGATGGTGGCGCACGCCTTTAATCCCAGCACTTGGGAGGCAGAGGCAGGCGGATCTCTGTGAGTTCGAGACCAGCCTGGTCTACAGAGCTAGTGCCAGGACAGGTTCCAAAGCCACAGAGAAACCCTGTCTCGAAAAACCAAAAAAACAAAAACAAACTCATGTCTCCCCACGTCAACTGCACATAAACCATCATCCCAGGGTAGACTTCGAGCAAGGACTTTCCAGCCTGCCAAGTCTCCAACCTTCCTGCCCCATCCATCAAGGATCTTGTTGCTTCCAAATGCTACTGCCCCCTCTCCCACTGCTTGTACCAGACCAGCTCTGACAAGTCCCAGCTACAGGCGGCAGATGGCGCCAACTCCCAAGGCAAAAATGACGTTGGCCCTGCCTTTATTTCGATCCACTGCTCTCACTAGCCAAATAACCTACTTATCCTGTCATTATTTATTTTGCTGTGTCGGGGATCAAACCCAGAGCCTTGAACATTCTGGGCAAAGTGCTTACGACTGTGTTTGGGCTAAGGCTTCACCCCACCACCCAAAATGACTGAGCACTTGAGACGGAGTCGCTCTATGATCAAACTGGCCTTCAATCAGTAACCCGCTTTTTTTTTTTTTTTTTTTTTTTTTTTTTTTTTTTTGTTTTTTCGAGACAGGGTTTCTCTGTGGTTTTGGTTCCTGTCCTGGAACTAGCTCTTGTAGACCAGGCTGGTCTCGAACTCACAGAGATCCGCCTGTCTCTGCCTCCCAAGTGCTGGGATTAAAGGCGTGCACCACCACTGCCCGGCAGTAACCCGCTTCTTGACTCTTGAGTAAAGATTAGAGTATTGGGCCACCAAACCCGCACACTCGTTCACGTGTTCAGGATAAAAAAAAAAATAAATAGAGCTTGGGGTGCGCACTTTTAATTTCAGCTCTCAGGAGGCAGAGGCGGTAGAGGTCAGCCTGGTCTACATAGCGAGTTTTCCAAGACAGTCAGGGGCTACATACTGAGACCTCGTCTTAGAAACAAACAACAGAGCCTTCCTCTGCTCCCGGTCTCTACTACACGGCTGCCACATCACTTCCCGCCAGGAGACAGTGGCCTCCCTTTTCCGCCGAGCCCTGCACTGCCTTTTCCAGGCTGAGACTGGGCGACTCCCGGAGCCCTCCAATCCGCCCGGGACCCCGCAACACCTTTCTTTCCCTTCAGGAGCATCTCTGGTTCTTCCATAGTGAAGGCAGCCAGGCGGAGCTCTAAAACGCAAGCGGAAGTCGGGAGACTGGGAGGTCTACCTAAACTTTCCGGGTTGAAACTGGTCACGGCAAGCCTCCGGTTCTGGTTTCGGGCTCGCTGATCCCTCTTCGCCTCAGCTTCATTCAGACAGGAGAGAGAGGGAAAGAAGGCGATCCGGGCCGTGCGTGTGTGCAGTACAGAGATTTCCTGAGGCTCTAGGATACCTAGTCAAGGACTCCCTGCTGCCACCCTGACACAATAATCCTCTGGGACCAGGGCAAGGGAAGGTTAAGATACTCGGTCCCTTTAAATTCGATGAGTCCCGCCCACATGTCTCCGCCTCATCTAGAGAATGCTCCACCCTCCCATCCGCAGGTGGCTCCGACGGGAGGACCGTGGGGGCGAAGACGCAGGAGCAGCGACACAGCGGCACATGCGCAGTGAAATCCTCAGGGGGGCTGAGGCGCCTTCAGCACTTTTCAAGGAGAATGTGCGCATGCGCCACAGTCCTTCCTGGCTTCTGCGAAAGCCGTGCCCCGCCTTCGAATCTTAAAGAGCTAGAAGCAGCTTCGGTTCTTGCTGAGCAGGAGTACGCAGGCGCAGTGGGGTAGTGCTTCAGTCGGAAATAGTCGTCGCTATTAAGTTGCTGCTCTGTGTCCCAGCAGAGGAAGCTAGAGTGCCGATCGTCCGATCACCAATTTGCGCCTTACTAGATCCACTGGACCAGAAAAGTTTGTGAATAGGAAGTCCCGAGTTTTGGGAGACCCAGGCTTGGAGCGTAGGGAGACGGAGGAGGCTGGAGGGAGGTGAGTGAACCTCCTGAGTCGCATTTTTTTTATTGATCCCTAAGTCATTTTGGAAGACCCCGACCCAAATAACCACAGAGGGACACTGAGAAGTTTAGTGTTAGTATCTCACTATGCTGCTTTCTGACATGACCTCTCTGGGACCTCGTTTCTTCACCTTATTGAGAAAACTGAGCTCAGTTTAGTCATAGCCCAGGTTTTCACGGCTTGTAATTGAGGGGATTTGAATCCAGACTACTACCCGAACTCAGATTTTATTGCCTGGTGCAAGGGCCTGGGATTCTGGTGTTAATTTCTTGACAATAGCAATTGTCCAAAACCTTAAGTTTCCCATTCTCACTATGAAAAGCTGAGTATACAGACTATGTCTAGTGTGTGTGTACACATATACATACACGCACTACACAGATATATGTATATATATATATATATATATATATATAGAGAGAGAGAGAGAGAGAGAGAGAGAGAGAGAGAGAGAGAGAGAGAGAGATTTTTTTGAGATAGGGTCTCTCTAACATAGCCCTTGCTGTCGTCGAATTTACTATGTAGACCAGACTAGCCTCGAGCTTAAAGGGATCCCTCTTCTGCCTCCTGAGTGCTAGGATTAAAGGTGTGTGTTACCACGTCCAGCCTAACCAAGCCCTAGCCCCTAAGAAGAACTGATTTATTCCTGTATTTGGGGGTGGGGAGTTTGCCATGGAGCCGACATGGAGGCCAGAGAACGTGGGTTCCTGGAATCAAACTTAGGGCGTCTGGCTTGGTGTCAAGCTGAGCCACCTTGAGGGCCCAAGAATTTTTGATAACTATTGTACTCTCTTCCTCCAGCTCCTACCATGGAGCCCACTCAGCTTTCAGATGACCTCATCCCAAACCAGCAGTCCCCTGCTCCTGAACTTGAGGATCCTGAGGACCCCAGAGACGAATCTCCAGACAGCTCAGACACTGTGGTCCTCAGTCTGTTCCCTTGCACCCCAGAGGCTGTGAATCCCGAATCAGCCAGTGCATCCTCATCACAGGGTGAGAACCACTCTGGGTTTTGGTGAGGGAGACTGGTCAGACAAGGTCACTTAGGGAGACCTTGTCTTCGGAAAGTGGTGGGGTGGGTAGAGAGCTAGCTGAGTTCTTTAGAGCACTTGATCTCTCAGAGGCTCTGGGTTCAGTTCCCAGCATCCACAGATGGTTATACAGCCATGGTGACTCCACAGACTTCCTCTGGCCTTGGAGAACATCAGACACACACGTGGTACACATGCATTTATGCAGTCAAAACATACACATAAACAAAAAGCTTTAATGGATTTTTCAATGTGTTGTTCTGTGTGTGAGTATTTTGCCTACGTGCATATGTACCATGCACAGGCAGTACCTGAGGGGGCCAGAAGAGGGCGTCTGAGTCTCTGGACCCTGAGTTGTAGACCCCCCAGTGCAGATGGTTCAAATCAAACCTGCCCCAGAGAGCCATCTCTGCGGCATTTTTACATTTATTTATTTTATGTTTGTATGTGCATGTGTGTGAACATGCCATGGCACACATGTGGAGGACATAAGATCCTTTCAGGATAATTCTCTCTTCTTACCTTGTGGGTCCTAGGGATGGAACTCAGGTCAAGCCAACAACAGATGCCTTTATCAGCTGAGCCATCTTTCTGGCCTCCACATTATGTTCAAGACAGGTCTTCGCCTGAACCCGAAGCTCACTGACTGAGCTAGACCTGCCTATCAGTGGGCTCTGAGGCTCTGCCTGTCTTTGCCCTCCAAAGCTTCCAAACTGCCATGGCGCACGCCTTTGATCCCAGCTCCGTAAAGGCAGAAGCAGGCAAATCTCTGTGAATTTGAGGCCAGCCTGGTCTACATAGTGAATTGTAGGTTGTAGGCCAGCCATGGTTACATAGTAAATGTTTCAAATTTTTTTTGTGTATTTTGTGTGTATATGTGAATATATAATATAGTATATATTATACATAATTATATAATATAGTGTATAGGTGTATATGTAAATATATATATATATATACACACATACACACATATGTATATGAGAAAGAGACAGGGTCTCTCTATTTAGACTTCTGGCTGTCCTGAAACTTGTTATATAGACCAGGCTGGCCTCAAACAGAGATTCCCCCTGCCTCTGCCTCCTGAGTACTGGGATCAATCAAGTGCCTGCCATTTTGTACATTTCTTTTTTCTTTCTTTCTTTCTTTTTTTTTTTGTTTGTTTGTTTTTTTCTGAGACAGGGTTTCTCTGTAGCTTTGGAGCCTGTCCTGGAACTAGCTCTTGTAGACCAGGCTGGCCTCGAACTCACAGAGATCCATCTGTCTCTGTGTCCCAAGTGCTGGCATTAAAGGTGTGCGCCACCACCGCCCGGCTTGTACATTTCTTTAGTGTGGTAAAATACATACAACATTTACTATTTGGACACGATTGCAGTACGATTCAGTTATGTTTGGCTCCTTCAGCAGCCTGTGCCACCATCACTTCTGTGTTCCAATACTGCCGTCACTGCAGCAGAGGAGCACGCCCTCCTGCTCCCCAGGCCAGGGCAGCTCTGATTTGTCTCATCTCTGGTAACTGCCTTTTCACATTGTTCTGCTTGATAAATGCCCCTGAGATGGGCCAACATCTTGAACTCATGATTGATCCAAGTTGCGGTATGGGTCAGGTCTTCATTGCTGTTTAGGTAGCATACAATCCCAGTAGGTGGGTGAACCACATTTTGTTGATTTGTTAATCTATGGGCAAACTTTTGGGTGTTTTCTTTTTTCTTTTTAAATTGTGTGTGTGTGTGTGCGCGTACGCTGACAGAAACCAGAAGAAGACATTACTGGAACTGGAGTTACAGGTGGCTGTGAGCTGCAGTGTGGGTGCTGGGAACTGAACTCCAGTCCTTTGCGAGAAGGACTGGTGCTCTGAGCTGCTGAGCCAGTTCCCTGCCCCACCAGTTTCTTTGTGCTGTTGGGAATTGTATTGCTTTGAACACCAACTTTTCTTTTGACCTTGGCTGTCTGAGTACTTTGGAGGTAGAAACAGAAAAATTTGAAATTCACGGTTATCCTCAGCTACAGAGAACCTAGGCTACACAAGACCTTGTTTCAAAAGCCAGGAAGGCACCCACAGAGATGAATGGGTCAGGTAATACAATCCTACGAACACAGGGACCTGAGTTCAATTCCAAGCAGCCGGAGAGAAAGCCAGTGTAGTGAAACACTGAGGAAGTGGAGACAGGAAGGTCCCAGGACCCGATGGACAGCAAGCCTAATCTAATTGGTGAGCCCCAAGCCTGGCTCACAGGCAAGGTGGACAGCTTCTGAGGAGTACACCTGAGGTTGACTGGTTATCTCTCCCCTTAAACCCTTAACCCACCCACCCCAGAGTTGGTCCCTCTCTCCCTCTTCCTCTATTTCCTTATTGGATGTCCTGAGCCCAGGCTTCCTAGTAGTCCTTAAACACATCTAATTTGATGTCACACCAGGACCTGTGTCCTTCCCAGTGCTTGCTGGGATTCAAGTGGAAGTTGCCTGAGAGCCACCTGTTCTAACCATTTGTCAGAACAGACTCGCTGCCTGTCCTGTCTTCCTACCACCTTCTGCCTGCTTTTTCTCTTTCCTTCTTTCTTTTTGTGGCAGGATCTTACTGTGTAGCCCAGGCTGGCCTCAAATGTGTGCTTTCTCTCCTGCCTCTACCTCCTCAGGATTGGGGTTATGGTTGTGCACCCCTCAAATCTTTTTTTTATGGTCTTTATCTCTCCCTTCTTCTCCCCCTCTTTTTCTTTTTTCGTTTTTTTTTTTTTTTGTTTTGTTTTGTTTTTTGAGACAGGGTTTCTATGTGTAGCCTTGGCTATCCTGGCTGGCCTCAAACTCACAGAGATCTACCTGCATCTGCCTCGGAGTGCTGGGATAAAAAGGCGTATGCCGCTACTGCCCAGCCTCCATTTCTTTAACATAGGGTTTCATTCTGTAGTCCCAACTGACCTGAAATTCACTGTGTTGCCCGAGCTGACCTGGGATTTGCGATCATGCCCCAGCCTCCTGAATAGCTGGGAATGCCGGCCTGTACCACTTAGGCCCTGCTCCTTTAAAAAGTGATCGTATTTACCATTGGCATCTGTGTGGATGTGGACACCAAATGGAAACCACAGGGGTGGCCTCTTTTCAGATTAGAGCCTGCAGCATATGTCTGGACACCCTGAGACAAACACCTCCTCTCCCTGCAGGCAGCTTCTTGAAGCACTCAACAACCCTTACAAACCGGCAGCGTGGGAATGAAGTCTCAGCTCTGCCAGCCACCCTGGATTGTGAGTGGAACTCAAGGAGGGGTGGGGCGGGGCTAAAGGATTCCTTACAAGCTTGGCATGGCACCCCATGGCCCAGCATTTTGGAGGTGGAGGCAGGCGGTCAGAAGTTCAAGGTCTTCCCTGGCTACTTACTGAGTTAGAGGCCAACATAGACAAAGACCAGCCATAAGGGATTGAGAAATATGGCTCAGTTGATAGACAGCTCCGCAGCATGTACAAAACTGAGTTCATCTCAAGCACCTCATAAACTGAAAATAGCGGCACATACCCATCACTCAGTAGCAGCGGCAGTTTCCGGTCATTCTCGGCTACACAGCAAGCTGCGGGCCAGCCTGGGCTATATGAGACCCTCTCTCAAAACAAACAAACAAAAAACGGGATCAATTTTGAACAGGGTAAAGAGGCCTGGGGAGGGGGTAGAATGGGTGAGCACTGTGCCTGTTTCTGGCCCCAGCACTGTCCGTTCACCAGCTTGCAGCACAGGGGGAGCTGAGCCAACTGAAGGACCATCTCCGGAAGGGTGCGTGTCCTGTGTGTGCTGGCGTGCACACACCTGTCTGGTAGGGGAACTTCTGTGTGAGAGCGATTTGTGTGTTCGTGTATGTTCTGTATATGTTCCCCTTCACGTGACCCCCGAACCCTGCCCACTCTACTCAGGAGAGCAGGCAATCTTACCGTCCCCATCCCATATCCCTTTCCATATCAGGTGACAACCTGATCAACAAACCAGATGAACGTGGCTTCACTCCCCTCATCTGGGCCTCAGCCTTTGGAGAAATTGAGACGGTTCGCTTCCTGCTAGAGTGGGTATGTCCTGGGGGTGCAAGGACAGGCCGGGATTTCAGCTTCTGAAGCTGCTGCCCTCCTTGGGGACCCTGAGATTTCAGGGACTCCATAACTACCTTTTCTGCTTTCCTAGGGTGCTGACCCCCACATCCTGGCCAAGGAGAGAGAGAGTGCCCTGTCGCTTGCCAGCATGGGTGGCTACACGGACATTGTGAGGTTGTTGCTTGATCGAGACGTGGACATCAACATCTACGATTGGGTGAGCCCCCGGGTGACCCCTGGGTGAGCCCCCGGCTTCCTGGGTGACCCCTGGGTGAGCCCCCGGCTTCCTGGGTGAGCCCCTGGCTTCCGTTCCTGCTCACGGATGAGCCCCTGTGAGATGCCAGGCCTGCCCTGGGTTCTGGGGTCACAGGACAACTGTCACCACACCTGATAAGAGTTCCCAGCCTCTGGGAAACAGAAGCAGAGAGGATAGTAGAGCCTTAACGGGAGGCTGAGCCAGCAGCTGCAAGAGCCCCAAAACAACTGAGAAAGTCGGGGAGGGCTGTTCGGAAGAATGGGCATCTAAGAGTCACAGACAGAGGTGGGTTGGATTGGCAGCCAGAGGGCAGGGCAGAGACCTAGCCTTTGTTTTCATCTAGTCTTATCCCACAGAATGGAGGGACACCACTACTCTACGCGGTGCGTGGGAACCATGTCAAGTGTGTAGAGGCCTTGCTGGGTGAGTAGGAGACCCCTTAGGAGTCCTAGGGTAGACAAGGAGGCAGAATGGTGTGCAGCTTCTGTGTTTGATCCAGTCAGCCATGTTGAGCACCCCCTCCCATGCCCCAGAGATTCCAAGTCCTGTTCTTTGGGTAGGGGAGCACTGCGGTCTTGCCACTGCCCAAGGTCACATGGACAAAGAGTATACTGCAGAGCATTATGGGGGCACCTCAGTCCTGCAGTCCCCAAGCCCTGTACCCGATGCCTGTTCTGCTTTGCAGCCCGGGGCGCTGACCTCACCACAGAGGCCGACTCTGGCTACACCCCAATGGACCTCGCAGTGGCCTTGGGATTCCGCAAAGGTGGGCTTGAATACTGGGGTGGGCTGAGGGGCCGTGTGGGATGGATGGTCACAGAGGGGTAAACAGGACGCTCCCCGAGGATGCCAGGTGATGCCCTTAGCACCCAGGCAGGCCCAGGTACCTCTTCATCCTGGCTGTTGGCATTTTGGGGCTGTGCTAGGGACATCAGCTCATGATAAGGATGGAAGCCACTCTGTGGTTCACACAAGACACTCAGATGCTGATAGCCCCAGCCTACGCGTAGATCTTAGTTCGTCCTGCCAGACACACCCTGCCTCGTGGTACTGGGGAGGGGCACTTTGCTGAGGCCACCCCAAACTTCTATTTCTGTTGCTCTAATAGAATACAAGAGATAGGGTTTTGGTTTTGAAGTTTTATTTGGATTCATGGTTCTGGAGGCTGGGAAAGCTATAGTGGTGTGGTCTCATTGGCTGAGGGTCTGGTATTGCTCTGACTTAGTGGATAGTGTGGGCGGGAAGCACCAAGTGGAGGAAAGGCCTCTTCTTAAAACAGCCCCAAGGTAGCTCCACCCCACCCTGCTGGACCTTGGAGGGTCCCAGGCTCAGGGCTGGGCTGAGTCACCTCCTGGTGGCTACACTCTGCTCAAGGCCTCCAGCAGCCTCTCCCGCTCACACCTCCCCCTCCTGCTCACACTGCCTCCCACCTCCTCCCACAGTGCAACAGGTGATGGAGAACCACATCCTCCAACTGTTCCAGAGAACTCTGGGGCCTGCAGACCCAGAGTGAAGATGGCCTGCTGGGGACCCAGGCACTCAGGGAATAAGCCAGGCTGCCCCACAACTGGCTTGAGGCAGCTCCCGGACAGTGGTGGGAAGGGATCCTCCCCAACAGGAACCAATAAATCTGTGCAGAAGTTGAAGGGCTTCTGGTGCCTCCCAGGGGTCTTCCTGGAGGTGGCGCCGATGCTCTCACACTGCCTTCTCACCCAACACCCGCAGGTGGTAAACGACCACACGACCAAAAAAGTCCGTGGTGTCCTCAAAGGTCAGCTTCAGCCGGTCCACCTCCACAGTAGGAATGGAGAAGGTGTGGCCTCTGTGGTCAAGGAAATGGTGACTGTTTCTGACCCAACAGGCCTCACCTTCCCAGTTCAGACACCACCTCATGGGCCAGGTGCTTCTCAACAGCACCACCCCCTGCCCCCACCACACAGGGTTTCTCTGTTAACAGCCCTAGCTGTCCTGGAACTAGCTCTGTAGACTAGACTGGCCTTGAACTCACTGTCTCTGCCTCCGAGTGCTGGGATTAAAGGCGTGTGCCACCACTGCCTAGCACCCTCTTTTTTTTGAGGGGGGGGGAACACTGGTAGCCTGGGCTGGCCTCAAACTCACTGTAGCAGAGGATGACTACTCCTGACCCTCCTCCTTGCGATGGCTCCTGCTCTCGTGTAGAAGGCACAGTGTGGTTATATGCCAGGCTGGCCCCAGTGCTTGCAAGGCCTTCAGAAGACCAGGTCCCTCACACCCCAGACCAAGCAGGATATTTGAAGGGCGTTGGTATCCTCAGGGTAGAAGTCCACAATCTTACGGAGGGTGTCCCCACCTTGTGAACCTGCAGTGCAGAAAGAGGCTGAGAATCCAGGGAACCCCTTGACCCCCACCTCTTGCGACCTTCCAGTACCTTCCAGGCAGCTGTGGCGACTGGAGAAGCCGCCCTGGAACTGCACCTGCAGCTGTGTGATGTGAACACGATGGGGAAACTCGAGTGTCACCCACTGGGAGGGGCCCTGGAAGCAGATGGGTCAACTAAGGGACTTGGTAACTGCAGGGTCAAGTTCCACGGCTACAGCCGGGCCAGGAGGGTGTGCGCACGCAGTCCTTCCTAGGTCTCTCCAAAATTCTCAAGGCACCCTGCCCGCTGAATCTGCTTCACACTTGTGATGGAGGGAAGTGGAAGCGCCTCACCTGGTCGGAATTCCAGCATGTTTCCTCGTCCTCGTCAAAAAGATATTTCTTCCCAAATTGCCGGCTGTTGCGATTAAGCACAGAACTTACCCTGCAGGGCAGAAGCAAGGCTTTCACCGGAGCCACCCTCCAGGCCAGCCAGGGCCGCGGCCGCGTGGCTCCACCCCCAGCCTGCCCATAACCGACACCAGGTCGGGACCCCAGCGATCTCCGCCTGGCCTCGCCATCACGACTCAGCCCCCAGTTCATCCGCCCCCTCCCCGAGTTCCACAGTCCCGAGTCTCACCGGCTCACGGTCTCGGGGCAAACCAAAGACTGGGTCATCGTGGCTCAGCGCGAGTTTGAACCCAGCCGCCGGCCCTCCCCGATCACCTCTACGTGACACGGCGGGCGATCCGGGAACCGGAGAGAGACAGAAGCAGCTTCCTAAATTTTACAGCCTCGCTCAAGACGGTCTGCGGTTCTGCGAACCGAACACCAAGACCCGGAACCGCGTGCGAACGGCGCGTGCGCAGTGCAGTACAGACTCCGCCTCCTCTTCGGGGCCGGCCGGGATTTGTAGTGCTTTTGGTTTGCCTCTTAAAGAAGCCGCACCCTCAAGTTTCTGATTCCTTGGAGCTGGAGGGAAATGGATACCGTGTCCTTTGTGTTAACAAACGTTCTCACAGCCTTCCTGTTGTGTCTTCTGCGGAGGGCCTCCCTCGCCGCAGAGGCAATAATTCAGCTTCCCTCACAGGGCATAGTGGGCACGTGCAGTCCCTCCCAAGGCTGCTTGGCAGGATTGCATGTTTCACGTCAACACAGAAATTTTAGCAAGATCTGTCTCAAAAAATTTCTTTAACACACACACGTCTGTGTGTGTGAGAGAGAAAAATAATATATATAAAATGTATATCCTTAGTTTATTTTGTGTGTATGAGTGTTCTGTCTGCATGTATGTCCCTGTACCACATATATGCATGGAGTGAGACTCCATGTGAGTACTGAGACTCGAACCCAACTGAATCAACTTTTAAGCCCTTAAATATGCTTTTTGAGACAGGGTCTTCTTGTGTCAAGTTGCCCGCTTGGAACTTGCTATTCAGATAATGGTCTCCTAAAACTCCCTCCCAGAAATCTTTCTGCCTCTGCCTCTTGAGCCCTGGGATTAAAGGTGTGTACCATCACACCCCCTCTCTGGGATTTAAATTTAGTTGTTTTTGTTTTTCAAGACTGGGTTTCTCTGTAGCTTTGGAACCTGTGTCCTGGAACTAGCTCTTGTAGACCAGGTTGGCCTCGAACTCACACAGATCCACCTGCCTCTGCCTCCCGAGTGCTGGGATAAAATGTGTGTGCCACCACTGCCCGGCTTAAACTTATTTCTTAATTAAAAACATTTTATTGCTATTACTGGGTGATAGTGCACGCCTTTCTTCCCAGCACTTGGGAGGCAGAGGCAGGTGGATCTTAAGAGTTTGAGATCAGCCTCGTCTACAGAGTGAATTCCAGGACAGCCAGGGCTACACAGAGAAACTGTCTCCAAAAACAAAACAAAGAAACCAAAAGAAATTTTACTTAATGTATATTAAGGTTTTTTTTTTTCTTGAATGTTTGTATACCATAGATCCAGAAGAGGATCGGATCTTCTGGGAACTGAATGTGGGTCCTCAGCAGGAGCAGTACGTGCTCTCAACTACTCTCTAGCCCCTATACTTTTTCTTACAGAGCACCACGTGTTAGGAATTGCTTTCTCCTTACCCATGTGGGCCCTGGGGACTGAGCTTGAGTAGCTGGGCTTGGCCATCCCCTCAACTAAGGGGATAGTTCAATGGCAGAAGGGCCAGGAAGTGCAAGGAGCTGAGCCCCTTTGCCAAAGGAATTAAGTCTCTTAGCAAATGCTGTCCTAACACCTTATGGAAGGCTTGTTCAAAGATCCAGCATGAGGTGGGGTTTTGGTTTTTTGTTTTTGTTTTTGTTTTGTTTTGTTTTTGTTTTTTTGAGACAGGGTTTCTCTGTAGCTTTGAAGCCAGTACTGGAACTAGCTCTGTAGACCAGGCTGGCCTCGAACTCACAGAGATCCACCTGCGTCTGCCTCCCAAGTGCTGGGATTAAAGGCGTGCACCACCACCTCCTGGCATGAGGTGGGTTTTATAGGATGAACAGGAGTTTGTCCCAATGGGAACCAAACCAAACACAGACACCCCAAACCTCATGGGTTGGGGGATGAGCCACAGGGACAAACAGTCTGAGGAAGCAGGGACTCTTTCTGACAGAAGGGCTTTCTGGGAGGGACCATGGGGTGGGAAAGAGTTTCAGGCCAGGATTAGAAAAGTCAAAGCATAGAATCAGGTGACAGACCTGTGGAGTCACTTCCCACTGGGTAGAGCAGCTCTGGAGAGAGTGGAACCCCCACCTCCCTGAATGAATGCTCCCAAGTCAGAGCCGTCCTTGGGGTTGAACGGTCTCTAATCTTTCCCTCTTTCTACTAAGGCCAGAAGGATTCCTGGGCATCCACTAGTGTCTCCCCAAGTCCACCCCAGGAAGCAAGGCTGGCAGAGGAACTGGGTCACCATCAGGAGGGCTGCCATGCTAGCTTGTTACTGCCAGAACTTCCTTGCCAGGACTTCAGTTATGGGTCCTGGCTATTCAGACTCAGTTTAGCCCTCCAAGGGCTATGGAGGAAGCATGTGTAGTTAAAAGCGTGGCTGTGTGATCTCAGACAAACATTTGACCTCTGAGCTCAGCTTCCTGTCTGTGAAAAGCAGGCTGTTTGGGTTGACGCCTAGCAACAATAACATGAGACGCTGGAGCTCACAGACAAGCTCTGTCTTCAGGCACAGACTCATCATTACCCTCCATAGTGCCTGGTGTCACTTCTATGGCACTGAATACAAAAACGTGTCCCCAGTGCCTGAAGGGACTACATACAGCCCCAGCCACCAGCCTTCCTTGATCACTCCTGCCCCTGGCATGAAGCTGCCTGGGCCCCTGGGACTTGGCCAGCTCCCTACACTCTTCCTGCCACCTCACCCCACTGGCGCCTGGGCATGAAAGAGCCTCCTGTTTCACCAGGGAATTAGTAGTTCTGAGTTCCCAGCGAGGCAGCCAACATGGTCCATTCATCCATCTAAGTCAGGGAGCCTGAGCACTGCCTCCTTCCCACCGCTCTCCAGGCTCTGAGGCAGGGCGGGTGCCATAGGGACTGGATCTGTCTAGGCATTCTCTCTCTCACCGTTTTTTTTTCCTGTTTGTTTGTTTGTTTCAAGACAGGGTCTCACTATGCAACTCTGCCTGTCCTGTAACTCACTCTGTAGACCAGGCTGGCTTAGAACTCTCAGAGATCTGCCTGCCTCTGCCTCCCACGTGTTTGGATTAAAGACATACACAAGTATGCCTGGGTTTCCTCGTGTGTGTGTGTGTGTGTGTGTGTGTGTGTGTGTGTGTGTGTAAGTCAGGATTGCTGGGCTCAAATTCATTATGCAGCCAAGAATAGCCTTAAACTCCTAGTCCGTCTCAGGTGGCTGGTGGCATTGTGTGTGACTGTGCACATAGGACCTTGGCTGTATTCTTGGACAATTAGCAGGATGTTGCCCCAAGACCTGACTGTCCAGGAGCTTCTGCCACCCATGTGGCCTCTGGGCCACTTATCTGCCCTTCACCTCATCCCCTGATGGCAGCCCCAGAGTACCTGAGACAGAAAAGGCCTTCCAGGCTGGAGGTGGGGACTTTCTGGACCCCAGAGTGGGCCTAGAAATAGCTCTTTGGGCCTCTCAGATTCCCAGGCTAGGTTCCCTCACTCAAAGCCCTGGCAACAGCAGGTCTGGGCCCTGGGCCAGCCCCTCTCTTTTCAGCCCTGGCACCAACTCAGGGATGGAGTTAGTGAGGAGCCGAAGGGTCAGCTTGGCTCTGGGGCTACAGACCAGATCCATGTAACTTCAGGCAGGGCATCCCAACTCCCTGAGCCTCAGTTTCCCCCAGCAAACTCCAAAATGAGCAACAACAAGATGGGAGCCCTGCTGGGTGTGGTGAAGTATGCCTCATCCCAGCACTCAGGTGCTGGAGGCAAGAGAAGCAGGGGACCAAAGTCATCCTCAGCTGCGTAATGAGCTGCAGGTCAGCCTGTGCCGACAATTGCAAAAATACAAAACAGTAACACATACACACAGTATACACACGCACGCGCACACAAGCAGGCACACTTCCTATTTCATTCCTGTAGCAATCCGTGGAGAGGACTTGTGCTCTCCTCTGGAGGGTGGAGACGGCCGCTTCAGAGTTGCAGCATTAGAAGTGGTGAAGACAGCAGATCCTTTCCCTTCAAGCATTCATTCTGTACATCTTTTTTTGTTTGTTTGCTAATTTGCTTGTTTTGCTTTCTGAAACAGGGTTTCTCTGTGTAGCCCTGGCTGTCTTGGAACTCATGCTGTAGACCAGGCTGGCCTCGAACTCACAGATTCACTTGTCTCTGCCTCCCAAGTGCTGGTATTAAAGGAGTGTGTAACCACACCAAACCAGTACATCTTCTTTTTTTTTTTAATCAGTCAGTAGCATCTTCTGGTGCAACCATCCCATTGTTGTTAATAATGTTATAAGCTAAAGGGACTGAGAAAGCTGTTACTTTGTGTCAAGAATGTATTCCTACTTTCCATTTGTGTCCGAAGACTGTAATCTAATCTAGCATTTCAAAGTTGTGCATTTACTATATCTTTTTATTGCCTATATTTATTTGTGGTTTTGTGGCGGGGGGGGGGTTGCACTCAAATACTACGTGTGGAGGTCACAGAATAACTTGCAGGAATCTGTTGTGGATATTGTTTTTACTAGGTAAAGATGTATTACATTTGTTTATGCTGGCTCTAGCTCACTAGCTCAGCAGTTACTCCCTTGTACCTGTTCTGGTGGAGATCATTGACTCTGGATCAAAAAGAAAACATATTTAACAAGTGGTGCTGGCAAATGAAAATAGACCCATATCTATCTCCATGCACAAAACTCAAGTCCAAATGGATCAAAGACCTCAACATAAAGCCAGCCACACTGAACCTCATAGATGAGAAAGTGGGAAGTACACTTGAATGCATTGGCACAGGGAACCACTTCCTAAATATAAGCCCAGCAGCACAGACACTGAGAGAAACAATTAATAAATGGGAACTCTTGAAACTGAAAAGCTTCTGTAAAGAAAAGGATACGGTCAACAAGACAAAACGACAGCCTACAGAATGGGAAAAGATCTTCACTAACCCCACATCAGACAGAGGTCTGATCTCCAAAATATACAAAGAACTCAAGAAATTGGACACCAAAAGAACACATAATCCAATTTAAAAAATGGAGTACAGACCTAAACAGAGAACTCTCAACAGAGGAATCTAACATGCCCGAAAGACACTTAAGAAAATGTTCAGCATCCTTAGTCATCAGAGAAATGCAAATCAAAACAATTCTGAGACTCCGTCTTACACCTGAAAGAATGGCCAAGATCAGAAACACTGATGACAACTTATGCTGGAGAGGTTGTGGGGTAAAGGGAACACTTCTGCATTGCTGGTGGGAATGCAAGCTGGTACAGCCCCTTTGGATGTCAGTGTGGTGATTTCTCAGAAAATTAGGAAACAACCTTCCTCAAGACCCAGCAATACCACTTTTGGGTATATATCCAAAGGATGCTCAATCGTGCCATAAGGACATGTGTTCAACTATGTTCATAGCAGCATTGTTTGTCATAGCCAGAACCTGGAAACAACGTAAATGCCCCTCTATTGAAGAATGGATAAGGAAAATGTGGTACATTTACACAATGAGTACTACACAGCAGAAAAAA